TGGAAAACACATATAATTACATATTGTTTTGTGATTAATCACTATGCTTTAATTATGTTCAATTTGTAACAATAAAAATACATCCTGCATATCAGATATTTACATTATGATTCATAACAGTAGCAAAATTACAGTTATGAAGTAGCAACGAAAATAATTTTATGGTTGGGGGTCACTACAACATGAGGAACTGTATTAAAGGGTCGCGGCATTAGGAAGGTTAAAAACCACTGCCCAAAGGGGTCACGACCCACAGGTTGAGAACGGCTGTTCTAGAGCGTGAGGAGACTCCCGGGGGACACTCCCCCTCCCACAGCCCTTAGGCAAGAGAACAGGGTTGGGCACTCCACTAAACCTGAGCCCTTAGAAAAATCTGATCTTGGGAACCCTCCCTCAATGCCCCTGGGGCGTGATGTTTGATAAGTCGGGTTCTGAGCCAGGATCAGTGGAGAGCAGCACCGCCCACAGGGTGCTCTGCGTGATGGGATGCATGGGCCGCCTCGCTGCACACCTTGCCTCACTCCGTAGCTGCTAGCCGCGTGTTAAGCACGTGAAATGAGCTAGTGTGACTAACAAACTAATTTTTAAATAGTATTTAAATTAATTTAAATCTAAGTAACACACATGAGTGGTTCACATAGTCAGATATATCTGGTTTAAAGTGGTGGAGGCACGTTTCAACTCTATTTAGTCCTAAATTATTGAAATAAATGCATAAAAAAGTTCTTCCTTCTGAATTAAAGTAATTTGTTCACTCAAAAGATATTAAGCCCCTCCTATGGACCAAATGCTATTATCATTCCCAGGGAGGGTATGAGAATAGGAAAGGCAGGGCTCCACCCTCACAGAGCTGCTTTGTAGTGCAAAGGTCAGCAGGTGCGGGCCAGCCCAGCCGTCTAGCTCTGCTCAGGCTGGAATCCAAAAATGGTTTTCACATTTTAAAAATTTTGAAAAAAAAGAAAATATTAATGACACATGGAATTCAAGTTTCAGTATCCATAAATCAGTTTTTGGGAAAACAGCCAGGCCCATTTGTTTATCTAGTGTCAATGGCTATCCCCACCAGAGTTAAGCAGTTGCAATGGAGACTGTGGCCCAGCCCGGCCAGTGTGGTTGAGCCAGGAGGTCAGGGTTTGATTTCCGGTCAGGGCACATGCCCAGGTTCCAGGCTCAATCCCCAGTGGGGCGTTCAGGAGGCAGCGGATTGATGATTCTCTCTCATCAATGTTACTATCTCTCCCTCTCTCTTCCTCTCTCTTCCTCTCTGAAATCAATAAAAATATATTTTTTAAAAATGATGCCCAGCTCCCCTGAACCAAAGATTCAGATTTCATTGGTCTAAGACCCCAACATTTTTTTTTTAAAAAAAAAGCTTTTCTAGTGATTGCTTATGAATACATAAGCATGGTTGAAAACCACGGCTCAATTAAAATCTTATTGGACGGCAATGGAGATCTGACGACTTCTAGTTCTCTCTCTGCTGTGAGTGTTGAAGCCAGTTGCTTCTACTCTCTCGGGCTGTTCTCTTTGAAGGTGGAAAAGGAGGAGACTCAAACCAGACGCTCTCAGAGGGCGCCAGCTCACTGACTCATCAGGTCCTCACACAGGGTGGGAGGTCAGGAGAACCCCAGGTCTCCCAATGCACTGGGTGCAGCCACACCACGCCCGAGCGCCAGGTCCACTTAGAGCAAAATCTATGGCTGGCACCCGCTATTAATTATTGTTTCCCAATTTGTCAATACAGAAGTGCTTCCATAGCCATACTGCCTTACACATTACACAGAATTTCAGTTAAAAGTGATTTAATGGCCCTAGCTGGTTTGGCTCAGTGGATAGAACGTCGGCCTGTGGACCAAAGGGTTCTGGGTTCGATTCTTGTCAAGGGCATGTACCTCGGTTGCAGGCTTCTCCCCAGCTTGGGCCCTGGCTGGGGCGTGTGCAGGAGGCAACCAATCAATGTGTTTCTCTCAAGTTGATAATATTCTCTGTCTTTCCCTCTCTCTCCCACTCTCTCTAAGAAGTCAATGGAAAAATATCCTGGGGTGAGGATTAAAACAAAACAAAACACACAAAAAAATGATTTAATGATGGTGAAAGTAGTTTTCATTGTAAGGAATTTGGAAGATTGTGGAAAATATAAGAAGTGAACCCTAATGTGCCTAGACCTGGTCTTTTTAGCAGCCTCATTTATGAGATCTCAGCCGAGTAAGTGACATCATGATCAAATTATTCCCACAGAAGCAGGGAGGCTGGGTGTCCTGGAGGGCCCTCCCCCGCAAAGTCCCGTGGTTGTAGCCCTGTTATTACCATGTCTGGTACTTAGGGCTCCAAGCCAGGACTGAAGGCAACGTGGACTAATGGGAGCGTGGGAACCACAGCCTCTAAACTTGAGGATTCTGACGGTGCTTTTGTGCCTCATTGTACTGATCCACTTGGTTTCTTCTGCGGATTCCCCGCTGTGAGAGTTCTCTGTGACATTTCTGCACTACTTTGAAATATGCAGGTGGAAGAGTTAGTGAGAAGGCTTAGCCCTTTGCTTTCACTGAGAGTAACTGAGTGACCCAGATCTTTCCTTCTTTAGAAATACACACATAGTAGTCAGGAGAAGGGGCCGGAACCAGACGGTTCCTGGTTCAAATCCAACCAGTGCCTCTTTACAAACCGAATGTTTGTGTCCTCCCAATGTGAGAGTATTTGAAGGTGGGCTCTTTGGCTGTGATTAGGGTTAGATGAGGTCAGAGGGTAAGACCCCATGATGGAATTAGTGTCTTTATAAGAAGAGGAAGAGACCAGAGCTCTTTCTCTCTCTACCATGTGAGGACACAGAGAAGGCAGCCATCAGCAAGCCAGAGATGGAACCAAATGGGTTGGCACATGATCTCTGATGTTCCAGCCACCAGAACGGTGAGAAATAAATGTCTGATATTTTATTATGGCCTCCAGAGCTGACTAATCAGCCTCTAACTAGTCATTCTCTCCATCTGTAAATAGAGATGATAATAGTATCTACCTCACAGGTTTACTTTGAATTAATGATAAATTGTGTGTAAATAAAACACTGGGCATGGTGTTTGGAACTTAGTGAGTGCTCAGAAAATGGGATGAGGATGATGAATAATAAATAATGAAACTTTGCTACTTTGGGGTATGGCTACCTTAAGGACAGAAACAAACACATGTCCTTTTGCTTGTCTTTTATGTGGATTGGTCCCCACAGGAAAGCTCCGGTGCTAAAAGGTCCAACCAAACTGATGCTGTCTCTTGTCACAATGGAGATATTGCTTCGTTCCAAGTGTTGTCAGCGCGCAACAGTTCCTGGTCTTGTTAGAGTGTTGCATTAAGATTATAGAACAGTGACTCCTCAGAATTTCTCCAACTATGAGTCCATGAAAAAGGACTTCAAACTGGAGATTCCAGAGTATTTCAACTTTGCTAAAGACGTCTTGGACCAGTGGACCAACATGGAAAAGGTACATCACAGGGCCAGTCTACACTGCCCGTCTGGGAGTGATTGTGCCCCAAGGGAACATGTGGCAATGTCTGGAGACCATTTGATTGCCATGACTTGGGGGAGGGTGTGGTTAGTGGGTAGGGGTATTGCTGAATATCCAGAATGCACTGACCAGTCCCCCAGCCATGTCATTCTCCCAGCACAGGTCACTTCTAATTTAGCCTGAGGATTAGAATCCCTTTATATTTCTCCCAATGCTGTATCTATGTCCTTGGAGTCACTTTTCATTCTACTCCTTTTTGTATTTTTAAAAAACTAACCTATAATCATACATTTTTGTGACCCAGGCTTTCTCAACCACAGAACCATTATCATGTTGAGCCAGATAATCTTTACGGTGGGGGACCTTGGCCCTAAGCCATCAGTCGGACATCCCCCAAGGGCTCCCAGACTGCAAGAGGGCACAGGCTGGGCTGAGGGGCCTGCCCCCCCCCAAATGCACGAATTTCGTGC